TCATTGATTGTGCAAAATTCGATCATTCTCTCTCCAACTCCATTTCTGTCACCGAGTCCATGTTTTCCAACTACTGAATCTTCCTCTTTGTTCCCGACTTTTGCATTCCAGTCACCCATTATTATCAATGCATCATAGAAGGGAATATTATATTTTAGCATTATTGTTCTTGTTATGTACCAATGAGTCAGAACCTACCCATAAATGATTCACCAGTAGGTTTTTAAAGGCAGTAAATCACAAAGGAAAAGATTGACCATCTTTTACTCAAGGAGAAACTGGTGGATTCAAATCAGGTGCCTTTGGTTTGACAGTGCAGCTCTTTCCCTCCAGGTCCCCATTATTGTGAATTCTTGCAAGTACACAGCTCCTGGATGAGCAGAAGCAATGCAGGTGTTGGAGAGGGGAAGGCATGAGCACAAAGTTTCTAAGTTAGATAAAAGTGATCATGACTCATAGACTCCCTATGAACAGCAAATCGAAACCTTGAAACAGCATTTTATGTAACTTAGTTGATAGCCAGTTGTTGTTATTGTTGTTAGGTACTATAGAGTTTGAGTCGTAGTGATCCTATGAACAACAGATCTGGACCCTGTCCTATGCTCACAATCTTTAACACACTTGAAACCATTGCTGTAGTCAATATGTCAATTCACCTGGTTGAGGGTCTTCCTCTCTTTTGTTGACTCTCCCCCTTGCCAAACATGTTGTCATTCTCTAAGGGATAGCCTCTCCTAGCAACATGCTCAACGTATGTGAGATGAAGCTTTATCATCTTTGCTTCCAAGGAGCACTCTGGCTTCACCTTCTCCAAGATATAGCTGTTTGTTCTTTTGACAGACCATGGGATATTCAGTACTCTCCTCCAAAACCACAGTTCAAAGACATCAATTTTTCTTCCGTCATCCTTATTCATTGTCCAGCTTTCAGAAGCATAGCAAGTGATCAAAAAAGACCATGGCCTGAATCAGTTACACCCTAGCCCTCAAACTGACATCACTGATCCTCAATTTGGAAAGGTCTGTGACTGCAGGCTTCCCCAGTGCAATATATCTCCTGATCCTCTGACTTCTGGTACCTATTGTATTGATTGTGGATCTAAATAAGATGAATACTCAGTAGGATCTGTAGACCTTTTATATTTCCATGCATTTCTTTTATTAGAGTAAAAGTGACATTATGACCCTAATTATGATTAATGAGACTTACTGTTCTATTTTTGGGAAGCTTGGAATAAATGCCAACTCATGCAACCCTCCATTGACTTTCTAAGGTTGTAAATCTTGGAGATTTTACCATTTCAGAGAGATTACCAGTTTCCTTCCTCGGAGTGGCTGGTAGGTTCCAACCACTGACCTTTTGGTTAGTAGTCAGACACATGTAATGCCAGCAAGAGGGCAAAAGAAGGCACACAGATTGATTATATGTATCTTCACGAACTTGATGGCACCTAACCCCACCACCAACAGGATGATCACTGCACACTCCTCACGGAAAAGTTACAGATGGAATCTTTCTTTTTACTCTTTATGAGACCACTGAAACTTGGGTAATAGTTCCATAGTCATGTATGCCAAGGTTGTATGTGAATGGGAATCTAAGATAGAGGCGTAACTATGATTTCAGAAGCATTCAATATTTGGAGTTCAAAAGATGTGAAACATTAAAAAGCGATGAGGAATCGTTACATACCTAACTTGAGATACTGTCACACTTTACACTGAAATTAGTGGAATATTGAAGTGAGCATGAGTTCACATATGACCCAAAACCTGTACCTTCAAGAGTCCTAATTAACCAAAATTCTAGGAAACCAGACAGCCTTTCTATTTATAAAAGCATGCGGCACAGCCACCTTTGACCTGCTGGAAAAAGAAGCTATCAATGCCAGTCATTTTGACTCCAAGGTCTACCATCCACTCGAAGTGCCCTGCCCACAGTGCCTGAGTGCCTGGACCGCCAGCATCACTAGCCCGCCCATCTGCACTGTGTCCACAACAGCACTCTTCAGAACCACCAGAAAGGACAGCTCCTCGCGCCAGGGGCGACCGCAGACAGCGCCCAGCGCACGGAAGGCCCCACCTCCCCACCCGCTACCAGCCTCCCTTCCTCGCAGTGCAGCTCCAGACCCGGGCTCGCTGGACACCAGGCTGACGATCCAGGGCCGCGTCCAGAAGGAGAAAGCACTCCCACGGCTGCCCCAGATCTTCTTTCCCCCCCAGGCCCGGCTTGTACAGCCCGCTGGACTCCAAGTAGGGGGCAGCACGAGTCCTGGGCCCGCCCCGGACCCGCCCCACGGCCTGATCCGATCTCTGATTGGCCAGAGCCTGGAGCGCGGGGCGGAGTCGGCTGTCGCGGCTCCGGCGCGCGGAGGGTCGGC